CTACCCTATACTCCTTCGACCGATCTTTCCGCTTATATTATTAATTACCCGATTTTATACTTATTACTTATACCTTCTTATAGAAGTCGAAGAGATATAAGCTATACGCTAAAAGAAGGTAAGCTAAGAGAAATACTAAGAGGTTCTTATTAAGTAGCGCGGGTACCTTAACCTTATATAGGAACCTATATATAAGTTTATAGGAGCTATAGCCCTCGATAAGTTTAAGGCCTTATATAGACTAGTAAGCGAGAATAATAGATTAACGAACTATTAATAGCGGCCTAGGCTAAGACTATAAAGTAAGTAAAGTAAAAGGGGTAGTTATAGTAATATAGGTAATATAAGCGTAATAGTATAAATAGAGATAAAAATAGCGTTTATTATAAGGTAAAGCCCTTAAACTACCTAAGCCTATTCTTTATTATTATTATTACCTTTATTATTATCTTTATTATTATTATCCTTATTAGCCTCCTCTTTCTTATTAGCGGTAGCGGCGGTCTTTAAGGCGCTAAGGCGGCCCTCTAAGCCCGTAAGCTAGTCGGCGGCGGCGGTAGCTTTAAGGGTAAAGGGGTAGCGGCTAGCGGCGGCGGTAGGGGCAACGGCGGTAGCGGAGGCGGGCACGGCTAAGGGGACCGCTAATAGGGCGACGGAGGTAGTATCCCTAGCGCCGGGTATATTAAAAGCGGAAGTAAGGGAGCGGAAGAGTAAGGACCTACTTAGGTATAAGGCCCTATCGCTTAAGGGCGCGGAGGTTATAGTAGGCGGCGGCGGCGGCGGTAAGGCGCTTCTTAGTAGCCCCCCGCGCTTACCTATATAAGCCGGCCTTTTAAGCTAATACTATAGCGAGTAGGACGGGAGGCGCCGCCTTATAGGCGCGGCCGGCGCGCGCGTACTAGTAGTAGCTACCGCCGCGGCGGCGCCTAGCTTAGTTAGAGTAGTCGAGCTCCTATAATATATAACGTATATAGGGGGCTAAGCGGGCGGCGCTAGCCTATACTTAGCGCTTATATTATAGAAGGTTAGCGGATAATATCTATTACGCTTACCTAACTATAGACTTACGGGGGTAGCAGAGATAGAGGTAAGAGCCGAGGGGCAAGGCGTTATAGGTAGCGGCGGGGATAGCGTCGTTACCCTAAGGGGCGACGTAAGGGCGAATAGCGTAGTAGAGGCGGCGGCGGCGGTAGTAGGAGCGGTAGTAGCGGCGTAGGTAGGAGCGGCGGCAGCGGCGGAGTCGTCGTCGGCCGCGGCTAGTATAGCGTCGACGAACGACTCTATATACTCTAAGAAGGAGGAGGTAAGAGAGGGAGAGGTAGATATATCTATTATAGAAGTTAGCTTAATAGAATATAGCCTCCCGCTTAATAAAGCATAGAACTTATTAGTTAAAGTTATTATTATTATTAAGGCTATTATTACTACTACTATTACTATTATAAGTATATATTAATAGAGCGGCCTATATAGCTAAGAACGGACTAACGCCTTAAGTAAAGTAGAACTTACTTATTAATACTATTACTATAGTTAAAGAAAGGAGAGAAAGAAGGAAAAGGGGAAAGAGGGGATACTACCTTATATACCTCTTAGTAGAAGATACTACTTAAAGTAAAGGGGATAGGCAACCTAAGGCTTATATAGGTTTAGACCGGCCGCTAGCTACTTAAGGGTATATATAATAGGTTATATCTTTATTTAAACGGCTAGCTAGCCGATAAGTATAGAGCTAGGTTCTAGCTACTTAAGCTAATAAGCTGTTACGACCCGACCAACGGTTGGTCACAAGCAGCCCTCAACAAGGCCGACACGTGACGGAGGGGTACAGGATCCCGCGAAGTCACGTGATGGATCATTTGGATCACTTGGTGATCCCAACGATCCGGCTCATTGGATCATCTCGATGATCCAACGACGATGTACAGGATCATTGGATCGTCTCAATGATCCAACGATCCGTGAACAGGATCATCACGTTCGCTGAATGATCCACGAAGGACCACTGGGTATATAAGGACACCCAATTCCACTCCTTTAGACTAGATAGCTCTTTAGCTTTCAACACAATCATTACGATCCCTATCACGATCTCATCTCTGATTCCGATCACTTGATTACCTGGTTACAGTCTACGGTCTACGACCTCCGACTCATCACCAACGTGACATACTTATCATTGCTCAGACCACGCCCTGTTGTATCTGCCAACATAAACCCCACGACAGGTTTATCCCTTGGGAATATCACCGGTCGTCACACGTTGAAAGCTCTTGTTCAGAACGATACCGCGTCTCTCTGAGCAATATCGCATAACTGTCAACATGCCTGCACAGCAAACTGGATCAACCAACTCGGGACACACCGTGTCGCCGCAGGACATGATGCGCGAAATCATCAGCCTTCGACAGGAGGTCCAAGTGCTCAGGAACGGAGGAGGCAACGGACAAGTCAGGGACATCGGAGAAGCAGTCAAACCAAAACAGCCAGGACCATTCGACGGTACTCATGGCACGCTTCGAGACTTTCTCACCCAACTCAAAGCCTACCACCGATTCTATCCGACCAAGCTCTCGGACCCAGTCGAAAGGTACTCCACGCAGGAAATTGTTTATCTGGAACGGCACTCGCCTGGTTTGGACCCATCATGAGGACTTTCTCGACAACCAACCAGCGCGACGAGACAACGAGACAGACGAAGTCTTTGCCAGTTTCCAAGGATTCGAAGAAGCCATTACGAAGGTATTCGGAACAACCGACGAGGAACGAGAGGCCGAACAGAAACTTCGAGAACTCCGACAAAGGATCTCAGCATCGGATTATGCTGCGAAGTTCCGTCAAGTCACCTCAAAGCTTGATTGGGACGACGAACCTCTTATGTCACGATTCTACGACGGGCTGAAAGAAGAAGTCAAGGACGAGCTCTACAAGGAAAATCGACCTGACAACCTCTCGGACTACATTGCTATGGCAGTACGAATCGACGACAGACAGTATGCGCGACGCCAAGAAAAGAAACAAGGAAGAGGAAACTGGAACCCTTCCTATGGGAACAACTTTAACCGACGCGCCAACTACAAAAAGAAGCGCGAAACTCCATTGCTTACGCCCACACAACTAACCCAGGCAAAATGGACCTGGATGCAACAAAGAAGGGCGAAGGAAAATGCTTCAACTGCGGAAAGTTGGACATTTCTCACGAAATTGCAAGCAACCTCGCAAGGAGAAGAAAGTTCACTGGGCCCCAGCCCCAGAAGGTAAGAGACACCTGAACGCTACTAACAAGCAGGAACCAAAGCATGAACTCCTTAGTTGGACTGCATGCTACGACGACAAATGCACGGTACACCTAAGCGACAAAAACGGTACCGGATGGTTCCCAAAGCCACCAAAGAAAACCCTTGCAATGGTGCAACGAAGAGATCCACAACACAGAAACAAGTCAAATTCGCAGAACCGGAACACCCCTATCCTGAAGGAGTCTCCCAAGACTGGATCAGGAAGAACGGCAAACGATTCCAGGAAGACATGCGAAACAAAAATCGACAACAACGACGGGCAGTCTATAAACAACATAACAAAGAAGATACGGACGCAGCCCTTATGCTCACGAAACTCGGACAACAACCCGAAGAGGAACAACGAAGTTTCGACGACACAAGCTCTGAAGAACAAGACACGCTACAAGAAACAGAAGACGAGGATGAACTCGCACCACCACCCTCACTACTAAGGAAAACGCCACGATTGGAGAACACGCTCCATACTTCGAAGAATTCGAAGAAATGCTCAAAATTGGAACTCAACAAATACCTCAAATTCTCACGGAAAACCAACAAGCTGCATTGATTCGATACCAACCGGCACCACGCGGAGGAGACTACGCTGTGGCTATCGCCGCAGTCGACACCTTTACAGCCCTACAACGAGAATGGCAACCACGAGGAGAATTTTCAGATGACCCAAGAACAGTGCTCAGTCACGAAGAGCACAAACATATTTCATGGATCCCATGCGTCTATTTGGACTGCATGATACACTTCAGATGAAGGCACGACGACGCCTTCCCAGTCAGATTCGACGGACAAATACTTTCGAAACCCTACCTAAGCACGGAACTGGACTACTGGAAAATCGATCAACGTTACCCGAACGACCAAGTCATGTTATTGGAACCCGATTACGGCACGCCACTTGAATGCCGCGATGATTACGGTTCTTTAACGAGATGTCTTTCGGAAACATGCAAAATCCACAAACACGCCAAAATTGGGGAATGGCACAACGCCACTCGCTCTAAGGCATCCGAACCATCTATCTTCACAAGACTCGCGCAACGAATCAGATGCGACGAAGAAGATTACAACGAATGTGCACACCCGAACTGCAAAGTTCACGAACACGAAAAGGCACGAGCATGGCACAAACGACACAACGGTGCACCAAAGGACTACTGGCGACACCTACGAAGGCTACAAGCTACATTCGACCAAGGAAAAATTAACGCAGAAGAACTACGCGCAAAACAGAAAGACGCAGAACGAAAACTCGATTCCTGGTACGAAAACGAACAGAATTGCGAAGCACGGTACGCAATCAACTGCGAAGCAGCACAATGCAAACAACACAGCGTTGAGAAACAAGAAATCTTCGATTGGCTACAAGAAATCAGTCTCTTGAGCCCCGACACGACACCACGCGACGAAAACATAAAGAAACGATATCAACAACAAATCGAAGAAGAATACCCAAATGAAACGAATAAGGACCAGGCAAAACGAGGTACGCCATCTGTAAAAGGGCTACAGACTGGCACGACACGACAAGATCAAGGACCCTATGCATGGCAACGGCAAGCCATGGCAACCAAATGGTATTGGACATCCAAATCGCGGGACATCACGTACACGCACTATTGGATTGCGGCGCGATGGGCAATTACGTTTCACCTAGAGTCATCAATCGTTACCGACTCCCATGGAGACACAAGAAAGATCCATATGAACTCACGAATATCGAAGGAGGCCTTCAACTATAACAACGGAATCATTGATATGGAGATTGATCACCTCGACATCAATATCCAGGGCCACGACGAACGAGTCGACTTCGACATCATGGACATTGGAGAACACGACCTTGTGTTAGGGCTTCCATGGTTACAGGAGAGCAACCCACTGATCAACTGGAAAACTGGCCAGCTGCGTTGGAACGACGACGCAAGTTTCCAAGACCAGCAGATTTGGGAGAAAGCAAAATTTTGCGATGATTTAGCCACTGAACAGGACGAAAGGGATGACCGTTCAAGCAAATCATTACGGGCTTCAGCGATACAAACGAAAACAGCAACCGAACCGGCGGACACAACAAAATCGACTGACAAGACCCACGTACTGACCAACACGGCTGTACAACCTGGCATCCGACATAAACAGAACAAAGGACACAACAAGAAGATCCGAAGAGTTATTGCCACTCTAAGGAAAGACCTCGAACAAATCAACAAAGAGCTCGAGTCAGGAAACCAGCTCTCAAAAGAAAGAACAAAGCCCACAAGACAGAATGAAGAACATCCCACAGGAATACCGGAAATACGACAAACTCTTCAAGGAAGAACTCGAGACAGGGTTACCCGAACACAGTCAATGGGACCACGAAATTTGTCTCAAAGATGGAAGAACGCCGACGTTCCATAAGATTTACAACCTAAACGAAAAGCAACTGCAAACGCTACGCGACTACCTCGACGAGAATCTACGAAAGGGATACATACGAACATCAACATCCGAAGCAGGCTACCCAGTCATGTTTGTTCCAAAGAAAACGGCAAGCTACGACTAGTTGTCGACTACAGACGCCTAAACGATATTACAATGAAGGACCGAACACCATTACCGCTTATATCGGAACTACGAGATCGACTGCACGGCAAAAAATGGTTTACGGCCCTCGATCTCAAAGGCGCCTACAACTTAATACGCATGAAAAAGGGACACGAATGGATGACAGCTTTCAGAACGAAATTCGGACTATTCGAATATCTGGTAATGCCATTTGGACTCACAAATGCACCAGCTACCTTCAACGGATGATCAACAATGTCCTACGCGAACACTTGGACATCTTTGTGGTAGTATACCTGGATGATATCCTAATCTTCTCGGACACCCTAGAAGAACACAAGGAACACGTCCACAAGGTACTCCGCGCACTTCAGAATGCGAAGTTACTGGTTGAACCAGAAAAAAGCAAGTTCCACACACAGGAAGTAGATTTCCTCGGACACACGATCTCACCAGGAGAGATACGAATGCAACAAGACAAGATCAACTCAGTCAAAGAATGGCCAACGCCAAAGAACGTCAAGGACGTACAAAGTTTCCTAGGATTTGCGAATTACTACCGACGATTCATCAAAGATTTCGGAAAGATTGCAACACCACTACACGACTTAACGAAGAAGGAAAAGAGTTTACATGGGACGACAAAGCCAACGAAGCTTTCGAATGCATCAAAACGACGATTACGCAAGAACCGGTCTTAACCACCTTCGATCCAGAACGACAAATCGAACTCGAAACCGATGCATCAGACTTTGCTCTAGGAGCACAAATCGGACAGAAGGACGATGAAGGAAGACTACGACCAATTGCATTCTACTCGAAAAAGCTACATGGCGCAGAACTCAATTACCCCATCTACGACAAAGAATTCCTCGCAATCATTCAAGCTTTTAAGGAATTTCGACACTACCTTCTCGGAAGCAAACACAAAATCAAGGTCTACACAGATCACAAAAACATCTCACATTTCGCGACGACGCAACAATTGAACGGACGACAGATCCGATGGGCCGAATGTCTATCAGAATTCGACTACGAAATAATCCACAGAAAAGGAACGAAAACGGTCGAGCTGATGCCCTCAGCCGACGATCCGACTACGACACAGGAGCACCTATTGTGAAAGGACAACTCCTTGAGCTCAACAATGAAGGGAATATGCAACAACGACAGCTTAACGCAATCTTCAAGGTCAATCCAGACGAAGGCCTTACGAAGAAGATCCAACAAGCCTACGATAAGGTTGATTGGGAACCACTTCCAGTTGTTTGGGAAGATGGCCTGGCAAAGCATCAAGGAAAGATCTTTGTACCAGAAGAACTTCAGGACGAAGTTATACGCGAAATTCACGAACACCCGACACACGGACACCAAGGAATCCGGAGGACGATGGAAAGAATTCGACGAATCTACGACTTTCCACGGATGAAGAAACGAATCAGCGAAACTATCAGAAAATGCGAACTTTGCGCACGAAGCAAAGCTGAACGACACAAGCCATACGGAGAATTGCAACCGTTACCAGTACCAAAGAAACCATGGGACTCGATAGCTTTCGACCATATCACAAAGCTACCACCGTCAAAAGAACCCATGACCAACGTCAAGTACGACAGCATATTCGTCATTACCGACAGATTGACGAAGTACGGATACTTCTTACCGTACAAAGAAGCAAGCAACGCAGAAGAGCTAGCATATGTGTTCCTACGAACTATTGTCAGCAATCACGGACTACCGAACGAGATTGTCTCTGACAGAGGAAGCACATTTGTGGCCAAGTTTTGCAAGCTCTCATGGCACAATTAGGAACGAAACATAAGCTCAGCACAGCTTATCACCCACAAACAGATGGACAAACAGAACGACTCAACCAAACGCTTGAACAATATTTACGATGCTACATCAGCTACGAACAAAACGATTGGGTTAAATGGCTACCGACGGCACAACTAGCTTACAACAGCTCAGTCACAGAGACAACCAAGCTCTCACCAGCATACGCCAATTACGGATACAACCCAGAAGCATTCAAGGTCACTCGACAAGGACCACAAGCGGAACGAGCGATACTGCAAGCAGATCAGCTACGAAAATTGCATGAAGAAATGCAACAAGAACTTCAATTCGTCAGAGAACGAATGTCCACTCACTACAATCGGAAAAGATTGCAGGGACCAATCTTTCGAGAGGGAGACATGGTCTACCTCGTACGACGAAACATCAAAACAAAACGACCAAGCAACAAATTGGATTTCAAGAAACTTGGACCGTTCAAGGTCAAGAAAACCATTTCAAAAGTCAACTACGAACTTTCGCTACCAACAACAATGCGGATACACCCGATATTTCATATCTCATTATTGGAACCAGCACCACGAGACGCCAAACCACAGGACAAAATCGAAGTCGACGATGATCAAGAATACGAAGCCGAACAAATACTGGATACAAGAAGACAAGGTCAGCAACAAGAATACCTTGTTAAATGGAAAGAATACGGACCAGAGGAAAATACCTGGGAACCACTCAAGCACCTGACGCACTGCGGCTCCTACTTCGGCAGTTCCACCAACGAACCCAAGGTCAGCCAGAAAAGACGGAGAGCGCTACCTCGGGGTGGACAGCGTCCCAGTCTCCGACAAACTCCGAAGGCAACCGATCAGAATGAGGGGAACACGGCTGCACCTCACTAACTCGACGCTGCTCCCTCTCCGCTTCCTCGCGCTCGACGCGCTCCAACTCCTCGACACTATCAAGACCACGAGAAACCGCCTGCATCATTCTCTCGAACCACATCTTCTTTGGCTTCAGCAACCGCTCCACTTTGGCATCCAACTTGCGACGCTCCTCCTCCGCAGCCTCGAGCTCAGACTCTATTTTTGGTGCTGTGCGCCAATCTTGCGGAGCTGCTGGACCAAAGCCCTTGGCATCGCAGTAGGATAGGTTCAGGCGAACGCAGTCATAACAACGTGACGAGTCGGACACCGATATTTGGCAATCCGTGAAACCACGAGAACGGCAAGACGAGCATGCTTCAGGCATGATGGCGGAACTTCCCAGTATAACGCCGAGAAGGGCGTTGCGCTGCTCTGTCTTGGAAGAACGAGGTTTGAAGCGATTCTTAAGAACACGGTCAGACGGCATGACGGGCCATGATGATGAAGGAAGGAAAGAAAAACACACACTCACGCAGAAAGACAGCCAGGATACGCGACACGGCGGCTAAAGCAGGTCTTGAGGGCAAGACCAAAAGAGGGGGAGACCTGATGTTACGACCCGACCAACGGTTGGTCACAAGCAGCCCTCAACAAGGCCGACACGTGACGGAGGTACAGGATCCCGCGAAGTCACGTGATGGATCATTTGGATCACTTGATCCCAACGATCCGGCTCATTGGATCATCTCGATGATCCAACGACGATATACAGGATCATTGGATCGTCTCAATGATCCAACGATCCGTGAACAGGATCATCACGTTCGCTGAATGATCCACGAAGGACCACTGGGTATATAAGGACACCCAATTCCACTCCTTTAGACTAGATAGCTCTTTGCTTTCAACACAATCATTACGATCCCTATCACGATCTCATCTCTGATTCCGATCACTTGATTACCTGGTTACAGTCTACGGTCTACGACCTCCGACTCATCACCAACGTGACATACTTATCATTGCTCAGACCACGCCCTGTTGTATCTGCCAACATAAACCCCACGACAGGTTTATCCCTTGGGAATATCACCGGTCGTCACATAAGCGCGGGGATAATAAGGCTAGTAAGGCTAGCTCGATTAATAGGAAAAGGTAGGGAAGAGCTAGCGGTATAAGCTTAATTATATAGAAGCTATTAATAAAGTAGCCCTATACTACGCTTAAAGGAGGGCATTATATAAGAGTCTTTAACTATTATAAGTAATAAGCTTAGGCTATAGCCTAAGCTATATAGTTATATATAGAGGGCTAGATCCTATATATATAAGGGCGGGCTAGCTATATATAAAAGAGCTTTATATAGCTTATTAATATTATCTTATAGATAGTACTTATATATATACCTCTACTTACTTTATAATAATAAGAACTTAATATCTAGAAATATACTTTCTTTAAAAAAAGGGGGGAGCTTTAAATAAGTTCTTAGAATTTAAAAATAAGATAGAAAATAACCCTAAAAATACTAAGATTAAAGAAGCATTTTCTAATAATACTAAAGAATTTATATATAAAATAAAGCTCTACTACGAAAAAGAAGGAATTACCTTTAATTCTAGTCTTCCTAGGATACTAGAATTTAATAGTAGAGTAAAAAGAATAAATCGTACTATATTAAAAAAAGTATAAGCTCTTTTATTTACTACTAAGCTTCTTAAATATCTATAAGGAGAAGCTGTTTTAATAGCTACTTATTTATATAATAGATTACTATATTCTACGATAGGATTTAAAAGTCTTATAGAAAAGAGGGATAATATAATACTACCTTTTAATACCTTAAATAAAATAAAGACCTTTAGAAGCCTTATACATTATAAGAATAAAGACCTTAAAGATAAGCTAGATAATAAAGCTTTTAAGGGAATAATAGTAAGCTATTTAGAAAATATATATAAAATCTAGGATTTTACTAAAAGAAAGATTACTATCTTTAAAGATATTACTATACTAGAAAATAAATTTATAAAAAATCTAGAAATTTCTAGTAGTAATAATACCTTTAATTTTAATTTTATTTTAAATAAAGATAAGCTAGAAAGCTATATCCCTATAGAGGAAGCTATTAAAGAACCTAGAAATAAAAGTCCCTTACCCTTTATAAAAAAAGAGTCTTTAAATAATAATCCTATTCCTACTACTAGTAAAATAGTAGTAGAATTACCTAAGAAGCTAAAAGGGTTCGATTCTAACTATATTAAATACCCTAATATTAATTTATTTTTAAACTATAATTTTATAGAGTTAATTCTAGCTAGTATAGAAAATTAAGATC